TGCTTCCCAGGGACCTCAGGTCACTCTCTCTCCTCGACCGACTTTTGGCAAGGATGGCAAGGCAAACAGGCTGCTTCCAGCCCTGGGCTGCCCAGGGCCTGATCACATCTGCATCCCGCACCGGGATGGATTTGTGGTCTCCAAGTTGGGCAGTACAAAGTACGGGAGCGTTGCTTCTTGCTTTTCTGTGCGTTTTATTCTTTATCTGCTTTTCCCCAACATGAGTGTAGGGGAAAATCTGTTCTCCTCTTTATTTCAAATATGCTAAATATTACTTAAATACTTTATATGTCTGCTGCCTAGGAAAATATCAATGATATAAATATTGAACTCTCATAAGTATGCTCTTGAGAACTATTACTCTACACCTATAGACATTAATTGTGCTGAAGTTGATCACGTGTCTTTTTAGTACAACCTAAAAATCCATAAGCTAAAGGCATTGTCATGCAGTATTGAATCTGGATAAATAATTTTTAACAGGGCACTGTCATGAAAACAGCAACAATTGCATATAATGGTATCTTTTAGTTGGCCTTTGTTCAAAACCTGGTGGTGCGCTGTATGTTGATGTAGCTATATCAAGGCATGTGCTATTTTACTGATCTAGTGGTTATCATAAGATGGAAATTACTTCAACACAGAAAAAAATGGTTGATAGCAACATCTTAGTTTCAGGGAGAAAATAAAATAACTTTTTCCCTTATCTTCATCTAAGGGGGTTTCTCTACACGTCCTTTACTTTAGCTGGATGTGAAACATCAAGATAATTTTTTGTGTTCATGTACTGTTAAGTGCTCAAGAGGAAAAAATTGATCTGGATTATTATGCAGCTCTTTTCAAAATTACTTATGCTTGAAACAAACTATCGAGATTAATTCTAGAGGTCAAACTTTGAAAATCCACCTCTAGATTTGCCTGTGTGTTTCCTTATTCTTATTTGTTTGGGCAGATTAGTATCTTTGTTTAGAGAATTTGACTCTAAGGTAATTTCTGCACCTGTGCAAAAGGATGTGTTTCCATCTGAAAATGCTAAAACTGCACATCTTCACTGAGGCAACTGAACTGTTGTTAGTGTTAACTTCTAATAATATTATTTTCAGCTATTTTAGTTGATTGAATTGCCAAGTGGGCAAAATTAGTTTTGAAGTGATTAATTCAGTTAATACTATTTTAGTATTACATAGCACTTTTTATCCAGTGATGTCAAAACGCTTACAGGTATTAAGCCTCACAACTCTCCTGTGGGGTAGGTATACTAAAGTATTATTATCCCCATTTTGCAGTTGGGGAAACTGAGGTCCAGAAGGATCTTCTGACTTGCTCCAAATCAGGGAGCTAATGGAAGGGCTGTGGTCAGAACCAGGAGTCCCAATGTTTATCCATTGCCCCAACCAGTAGGCTGGGTCACTTGGGCTATCCATAAATATGATATTTGCAAGATATGTACATGACACTACCACCAGAATAAGCAGAAATAATTGTGGTGCATACAGCAAAGCAGAGAAATAGCAAAAGTTTCACCCTAGGGCAAATTTGTAAGGAGCTTCACATTTCCTATATGAATGCTCACTATAAGTTTTCAATTTGCTTTGTAAGAGCTTGACTATACATACTAGTAACATCCTGCTATCACTTGGCATAAAACCTCCTTTGTCTTAGCGTTATGGAATTAATCCTCAAAACAAATTTAATTCACATCAAGTTATTTAGGATTTAAAGTATTTCCACTAAGTATCATTCACACAAATCAATCTCTCTAAAGGAAACTTCATAAAAATAGAAGTTGTTGACTAAAAAAAAACCCCAAACAAACATTATCCCTGTAATTTTTTTTTTTAGTGAATGCTACAAGTGAATTGCTGCTTGTGTCCTTTTGCCAATGTACTCTTATGTAGACATACAAACAGGATACTCTCTCGAGGTACTTTCAGTTTATGATATTTCCTAATCCCTGATGAGATACTTCTTTGCAGCAGGATGCCCCTGCACAAAGTTCTACCTGAAATGGGACAATGAAATATAACTCCTACATTTCCCCTCAGGTATGTAGGTGCTTCAGGAAGACATACAGAGAGAAGGTTATATAGAGTGTTCTCCATGCCTCAAAACACCCCTATGGCTAACAAGTTTTATATTATAACAAATTTGTACAGTAGAAAACAGGACACAAATATTTCCAGAAAGTGGCTTCAAAACTATTATAAATAGTAAGTTTGGCTAATCTTTCAATTAAGGGTTTTGGGGACAGTTTTAAGTATTCATATCTCCCCTTATTCACAGTAAATTTAGTGTGCTTGTGGCCTAATGAACAACCCATACACATACAGGGACCATTTCCGTGGGATTATATGACAAGAGAAGGATCTGTTAGTTGCACAAGCAAGCCAATTTTGCCTCCTCCAAAAACCTCTTGGAATCCTTCCTGATGCTCTGGGTCCCATTATGGTATTCCCTTTCTACCCAGCCCACACCCTCAAACAATTATTCACTTTTTTTTGCCACACCCTGCAAAAATCATTTTACCTAAGCCCTGCCCAAGCAGTGGTAACAAATAGAAAAAGTCCAAGGAATCAGCAGCACAAAACTCTCAGACTTATTAAAACTCGGAAAACAATAATTTTCTTTCTTTTATGCTGTGGCTTGTTTCACCTTCCTTTGTCTTGTCATATAATAGGAATAACGTTCATGTTGTGGGCGAGTGCTTGCAATTAGTGGCCCCACAGTTATTTAACCTCTGCAAAAGCCATGCATATAACATATAGTCCTTGTGAATATTATACCTTGCCTATTGAATAGTACTTCATTTCACCTGGCCATGATACAAGGTCTGTGTAAACAATCAGCAGAACCTGCAACTGTGGTTCTGTTGTGAACACTATCAGTAACGCTTTATATATGTGTGTGTACATATATATATAAATTTACATATATATGTATGTATACAAATCATAGTCCTGTAAATACCTGTTGCATGTGTGCACATGCACAGGAGAAATGTTACATTCTATTAATGGTAAGGCATATTATTAGATAGGCAATATTGGCAATTATTTTAGCTTTTATCTTGATTTGTTGTGTTGCTGTTGATCGCATGCTGCCAGAGGATCTTTAAGGATGATGGGGATGGGAAGAGGCCACTTCGAAGGTTTATTGCACACGGCGGCAGTAGTAGCCCAAAACTTTGCACTTCTCGCACAGGTGCTGGGGATGTTCTTTGCTCTGATCTGAAACATCCAGGCCGTCCGGCTTTTCCAGGGGTCTCTGCAGTAAAGGGAAAGAAATCAGATTAGATCCAAGGTTTTGTCACTGTTACTCTTTATTTTGTGTGTGAAGCCTACTTTTATGCTTAACTGAGCTTTCTCCTAGCAATTATAAAGGTACTGTGTTTCTTTCCTGAAGGGACGAAATATTTTTTCAGCTCTGCATTGGTTCAAAGTGGCCTCAGAACTTAATGTCATTCTTCATAAAGGTGGTGATAACTGTTGTAGACAGCTGAGTTGGGGACTACATTTATAAAAGCAGTAACACAGAAGAGTTTATTCTCTTGGCTCCAGGAACTGAGGTGTCCCAAAGGCATTAACACCTGAAGTATGGCAATCCCGTTACCCAGCAATGCCAGCAGGGGTTACCGATGTTAGGATTAGCTGCTGTGACAAGAAAACTGTCTTAACCATGCACAGATATTACATAGCTAAATGAGGTTTTCCCAATACTCAGTCCCATATTTCTGAGGCTGAAATTTTTGAAGTAGAGCAGCTACAAAGCTATTAATTTAAAAAAACAAAACCAAACAACCCAAACCCCAACTTCATAACGCAACCCATTGCCCTGAACCTGAGTAATACATTGACTATGTATTCTTAATAATATTTGTGAAATCACAGGGTTGGAGATATATTCGGCTAAACAAGGGAATGAAACTGCTTTGTTTTTAGTAGATCTTTGTTCTTTAATATTCTATGACATATAAAGGGTTTCATAATCATTCTGAAAATAAAATACACATGTTAAATATTGCAGTGAGGTTAAGCGTTTGGAAAGTCTAATAGATAGAGAGGTGATAGAGATGTGAGGTAGAACATCACAAAGTGCACCATTTTTTTAAAAAAAAAAAAACAACAAAAAACATTCCCTAACCCATAATTTCTCTATTTTTGTGAAAAGTACCTGAAAGACTATTTCATTGCACAGTGCCTTCCCATGAAGACAGTGGTGGTTCTATGGGACTGTGGTAGAGACAGCACGTGGTGTGAAATCTGAAAAAAGCCATAAGCTTCTCGCTGTTCTCACAAGGATACTGGACTCTTGCTTATCTCTTTAAAATATGATTCTTGGAGCAGGGGGTAGATAAATATAAATTACAAAATTATGGCCATTTATCTTTTCACACCTTTCCTAAATCATAAAGACTTTCCTTTATTTGTAAAATCTTAAAGTACACCTGATCATCTAAGCTTCCATTTGTAAGTTCTGCATTCCAAAGCCACCCACCTGAGACCGTGTGCATAGGAACAGACAATCAAAGCTTTTTTTTTGGCTATGTAACACTGCAAGAACAGCTCATAATCCAGAGAATAGAAGGGTTTCTCAGTTCTCTGAATAACTAAAATGAGACAAAATATATTCTATTATCCTGAACAAGGGATGTCTGCAAATTCTTCGTTGTATTGGATTATAAGTGCAACACACTCATTATATTGCACAGCTAATAAAAACAATATATAGGAGTAATTCAGTGGTGATTGCCAATGGTTTGTTATTGGTTCAAAGTTCTTACCCATGATATTGCCTGAAGTTTTGTCTGTCCTGGCCCACATATGTCTTTGAGTCTAACTCAATTTACAATTTAATTGCAAATTGGATTCCCTGTATCAGCTAGGGCATAAGGAAGGTAGATGGACCCCTCGTTTCCCCTAAATCCTTTAACCTCCCCCTGCAACCCCTCTGAGCTTTGAATGACTTGTTGGAAGTCAGTATGTTAGGATTTGAGATGAGAACCAATAATTCTGTTTCTAGGCTTGCAACCCAACGACTGGTGCAAGCAGTGCTTCTGCCACAACATAGACATGTTGAGTAAGTTTGGTCAGAAAAGCTGCCCTTCTGCCTTTCTACTGCTTATTCCAGCAACAACTGCCCACAAATTTTCTTCAAGAATTTGCATTACTTAAATAGTCAAAGATGATGCTCAGGTTCAGGAGTCCCAGGAGTTAATTTATGCTTCTCAATGGAGAATTTGAGAATTTTGAAATGCTACACTTAAAACAGGCTATTCGACTCAGCTCTGATTGCTTCTACATGCTAGCTGTGCTCTGATTAAAGAGAAAAAATACAGCAGTTATCATGTTTATTGATATAAGCCAGATTTTTTTTTTAATATGCAAGGCCTTGGGAATCATTTTTCCTGGAAATAGTGCAAAGGACATTGGGAATGCCTTGAAGCGCCAAGAGTTTTTGGATGGTTTTCAGAAACAATAGCTCTCTGTGATTTGCTTTCCCCCTGCGTTGATTGAGCTCAGCTTTTTGGCCTGCAAAGCATTTTGATTTCAGAAATGTTATTGTTACTAGTGTGTTACGACACGGAGGCTGGGGAGAGAGGGGTTACAAACGCAGGAAAGCAGGTTGCCAAGGGCCAGCTGGAAGGAGAAGAGCAGAGCCCAGGCTATGTTTCTGGTGAGGTGCTGGATAAGGCTTTGAAGCTGGTAGTGTGCTAGCGTGGTTTGTGTCCCCAAAACACTTCAACTTTTGCATAAAATGAAGTTCCAGCTTATCCTCATTTGCTAATTTCTCTTCATGGGTTTCTTGCAAGGCAAAAAACCCCATTCAAACACCCCCAAGAAGCAACTGTTCTTGTCCTGCTGCTATCTGTCTGTTAGTAACTGTGGAGGACTTTAAAGTAATCACCTTACACCCTTGCAACCATGCTAAAAGGGCAGGATGTTAGGCAGCCGAAGAGCTGTGTGTCCATCAAGGCTGGACTTCTTGGCACAGGCTGACCTTGCACAACTCTCACCAGCTTTGGCATGGTGGAAGCAGAGGACAAGATGCTGGCGCAAGAGGGGTGCAGCAGGGTTGGACTGCTGCACACTCTCTATTAGTTTTGGGGATTGCCTGAATTATGCAGAAGATCTGAATAGCTGAGGAGGCTGCAAGAGTTCTGTGCTGCTGCTGAGAGGCCAGTAGCATGAAAACTCAGCCATGTGTTTGGAGAGGGTGTGGAGAAGAGGACAGGCTATTTGGCTGAAAAAATAATTCCTTTCCCTAGAAAGAGGTGAAATGGAGCTTGTAAAACAACAGAAAATCCTGCTATGCTTTTTTTCCATTAAATGGAGAGTTTAAATATAATACTTCAATTTTCATTGCCTTTTTTTAAATGCAAGGATCCAGCATTTGGCACACTCTACTTTGAGCAAAAACTACAGGGATGGGCACTCTTACATTCTTCATTTTTGTGTGTCTTTCTTTAATTTTCTCATGGTAGTTGCTGGGTGGAAATAGTCTTGTGCAGCTCCACCAGGAAAGCATTTGGTGGTAGTGACTAGAGTTTGTTGCCTCAGGGGAATGAAGCTGAAATAAATCTAAATTTATATAGCAATTCCTGTCTTGCAAATTAACTTTTGATTGTGAACTATTGCTGTCCCAGTCTACATGTACTGAATGAACTCTGTATTCCCCACAAGTCAGTTAAAAACCTGAAACCCTCAAAACAAAAAGCTCACCCTTATGAAATGTTAGGTGTCAGAGAAAACCTTACTAGGACATCCTTAAGGAAAATTGGTTACACTAAGCAGCAGAATGAAATAATGTGGCTGCTTGTTTTTGTATTCAGAAGATTGAATTTTTTTTTACTGTAGAATGGAATTATTTGATTGCACTGCTGATGGATAAAGGATCGCATCAATCTCAAATGTAAGAAAACACTTAAATCATTTTCTGGACTCATTACCTCAAGTCTTAACCGAGCAAATGAGGTGATTAAATGATAGATTAGATATGTGAATAGAAACAGATTCTACAGCTATAGCTGGCAGCATAATTGTTAGGTTAACAGTCTTAAGGTGCCATATCTAGCTATGCTTCCCTCAAGACATACATACTATCATGAATTTGTAATTTTTTAGTCCAATAAAAAATTATGCACTGAGGAAAAAGGATGAAATGCAATGTGCATTCTTGAACAGCAGACCCTCTGCTTTTCTGTCTGCCTGGGGGGAACAGAGACATTAATGAGGCCCTCAGTTGTCAATGTGGATCCAAGAGGCAGTGATAAGAAGGCTGCAGATCAGAGGCATTACGCTCAGAAAGAGTAAGCAGCCTCTGTCAGCAGCATGCCTTTGGGACAGGCCAGCTAGGAATGAATGATAACCACATGAGCTAAACGGTGAAAATATCTTTTTAGAGTTCAGAGAAGCGGCAGTCTGGGGTGATCTGTACTCTCACTGCTGTAGCACACAAGTATGGGTATGCTGGGGAGGGTTTATTAAGACTAAAGAGTCAAAAGATCACACTTTTAGGCCTGAAACTGTTGAAAAGTTTATTGGGCTTGAGTGATCAGACCCATCCCTCCCCATACTGAAAGAAGAGAGGTGGCTGTGGATGCACTCAGATATGGGAATTGTGATGAGACCACTGCATTGCCCATAGAAGTAATAGCTTGGATATCATGAAGAATGTATTTACATACCAAATTATTTCCAGTCCAACAGTAAATTCCTGACAGCTGGAAGAAAATAGTGTCCAAGAGGACAAGTCGGTCACCAGATGGCTGGTTCTGCACCAGTGCAACAGCTGTCATCACAAACAGCACTGGAGTTAGCCACAAAGTCAGAGAAGAAGCCTTGATAACAGGCCAGCCAGGAAGCAAACACAGGCGCAGATGTTGCCACTATAGTGGGCAGGGGAAGAAAATGAGAATTCAAAGCTTGGCATCTGAGCTGTTACGGTGCCAAGAATGCCTGTCAATGGCTATAAGGACTGGCTCTGTTGCTGGAACAGGGTAAGAAGGAGCATAAACAACTATGAAATCCAAATTCCTTGGAAGAATAAGAGGTAGGTTTAAACCCAATATGGGGTGTCTGTTTAAGTTTAGAGTAGCTAAAGTAACTACCCAGGAAACTGCTTTTGGAATAGCCATGGAGCAGCTTTGTCAGGGTAGTTCTTTGGTCTCCTACTCCTCAATAAGGCTTGAGCTCAAAAGGCTTCCAACTTTTTGCCCAGTGTCCTATGAATTCCTGTAAGCACTCCCACGGGGAGGTTTACCACTT